AAACCTACGAGTTGCCCAGTCCTCTGTGTTTGTATTTTAGTAAACAATAACACATGAACAAGGAAGAGTGCGAGTGCCATACATGTTGCGTGACATCTAAAACATACACACAATAAACACATCATTTAGCCTGCGTCTTCAAGTAATATAACTAAATATTGAGGTATTATGAAAGGTAACTTGTATGATACCTGGAAACACATCATTATGAGTGGCCTAATAATGGTAGGGGCTTTGAGGGCAGGAGGAATTATTTTGGTTATGAAGTTGAGTAAATCACTAACCATCACAACTGTGTTATTTGCAAACAATGAAAGGCATACTGATCTTTATTTACATCCAAACGCAAGCAACATTGTCTAATTACGTAAAATAATGAACACACCATTAGCTGTACACCAACAACGATATATCAATAAAAAAAAAACTTGGCCAGTACTCACTAGCTTCATGTTGTCGGTACGAGGGTCAGCGGAGGAAGTTTGTGGTACTGTCTGGGACTGGTTATATATATACCCACACACCAGCACCGGCGGCTACAACGGTGGAGAGCGAGAAGGAGGGGGGTGAGGAAGATGGAGATGGGAAAAAATAGGAATGCACCTAAGCTGCATCCAACAATTACGCTGTGAGTCATGTGATTGGCGGTGTGTGTTTGGGTGCATGGTGACGGGGGAAGTTATATTGTTCATGTAACTTGTCTTTACTTCGTGGACAAATGTTACATATTCTTGTCGTTTACTGTAACTGCTTCACTTCTCACGAATTAGGACAATAAGATGAGTATATATGTGGGAATCCCAGTCTTATTAGGGTGGGCGGGCTGAGTTGTACGTGTGCACTCTGGTCTCTTAACATAAAAAATAGATTGAAATTGTTCACTTACAAATATGAACACCGCACAAACAGTACACTTGCAAAGCTTTAATTGCACTAGTTGATCATTGTACCATATTTAAGGAATATAATTAGAATTAAACATCATCCTAATTGACATAACATATCCGAGACCAGACTTGTGCCAGAGCAGCCATGCGAGTCATTTGGGAGCAGGTGAAGGTTGTGAGGCTCTATCCTCCATCTTCCACTCTTCCTGAGATGAAAAGCCTCCTCGTCCTGAAGAGTTTTTTTCTTACTTCTTCAGGTATAGAGGGATTGCGAGGTTGTCCGCCAACCGAGTGATGGCCTTATGGTTACCTGCGGGAGGACTGAGGTTACTGCACAAGTGAAGGGAGTTACAAGCATCAATGACGTCCCCGTTGAGGTGGAAGTCAGCCAACGCGATGTGGGGACATACAAGACCTTCTGGAAGACGTATACATGGAACGGAAGATGAAGAAACCAGAGGGAAAATCCACCTCGGCTCTGAATTTTCCCACAAATTACCAGAGACGGTTACACTGGGATGGGACATTATCCCAGTAAAGCCGTACACACCAAGACCCGCCCAGTGCCACATATGTCACCGCTATGGGCACCCAGCTAAGGCGGTGCTGGCCACGTGGGGAACAACCGGGCTGCTTGTGGCGGCCCTCACTCCTCCAACCGGGAGTGGAGGGAGGAATGCAGAGTAACTAAGGTGCCAGCCCAGAAATAACTCAGCTACAAGGAGGCTTCCCTTACAGTAAGGAAACAAGAAAAGAAGAAAGAAGAAATGAAGAATCGAGGAACAAAAGAAACAAAAATCAAGAACAAGAACAAGAAAAAATCAAGAAGAACAAGAAGTATGAAAAGTGCCAAAGACGAACAAGAAAAACAAGAGCAAATGGCCTAGTTAACAAGTCTACGGCCGTAATAACCGAAGCCGTTGACTTCCAGTAAATTAATTAACAACAACACAACACAACACATACCCGCAAACCGTTACCATGGCCAGGTAATTATCGAAGGGGTGACGGTGTTACACTAAATTGATGTCGTAGTTGTCTTTAATCACAACACACCACCCCATGGGGTACAGGCCTAGAAGGTGTGTAGTACAAAGGCACAATGTCGATATGATAAGATGTCGGGATCCGCATAGTTTCCTACAGAAGCTACAGCACTTGAAAGAAATTAAGGTGATGATGGTGAGGCAGAAGTGAAACAACCGTAGATATTATTTTGTGTAACACCATACACACAGTGTAATACAGAGGCGGCGTGAGAGAATTGTGAATATTTACTGTAATATCATCACTACTATATTACACTGTGTGTATGGTGTTACACAAAATAATATCTACGGTTGTTTCACTTCTGCCTCACCATCATCACCTTAATTTCTTTCAAGTGCTGTAGCTTCTGTAGGAAACTATGCGGATCCCGACATCTTATCATATCGACATTGTGTGTTAGAATTGTCCCAGGAATACACCTCCAGAATTATATATATATATATATATATATATATATATATATATATATATATATATATATATATATATATATATATATATATATATATATATATATATATATATAAACTGATGTGTTTGCCCGAAGAAAACCTTCTTTTAAGAATTTTCGTGGAAATCCCGCGATTGTTTTTTATTACAACAGCGTCATTGTCCTCACTTGTCGAGGTGTGAGTTCCCCCACAAGTTAGGACAATGAATAATGCTATGTGTATGCTTATATATGACATAAACTGTTTAGCTACTGAATAGCCACCGACAAACCACAAGGTTTACTACAAGTCAATATACAAGATACTTGTTTCGATGAAGAAAGCAGGTTAGGTTAGGTTAGGTTATATTAGTTAATTTTAATATTAATTGGAGGCAATTTGGTGTCGGTGTTAAACCAGCCTCTTTGTGGTTAATGATAAAAAACATCACTGATACAATATTTATTTTACCTAAACTCTAACAACGTCCATGAAGCAGGGTGACCCCATGATAGTGTGCACAGTACATTAACAGGTTCAGGAGGTTCTCGGTAACTCCGTCACTGCATAATGAAACTACCATACCTATGCTGCACCTAAACATGTAATTGTGCCAATAGATTTCAAGAAACTTTCATAATTTATAAAGGAAGTAAAAATGCGGTCGTCAGTTAATTATATATAGGAAGGTCAATTGATAACTAAGAGGTCAAGATAGAAAGTGGTCAGAGTTCATGTTATTTCTCGAAGGTGATGCCCTGGGCGCGCTGCTCCTCGGCGACGCGGATCTGCTCGATGGCGTGGGCGGGGAGGGGGTGAGGCTGAGGCAGGTGTGGGGATTCGGCTCTTAAACCGAACTCGTCGGCGATGTAGGTAACGACAATCAATTCACCCTCAGGGGATGTAAACCTGAGAAGATATGAAAACAGTTCATGATTATCCATTTAAAGGAGGAGTCTCGCACAGATATTCTATTCTGTCTAACACTAGACTATTTTATTCAGCTGAGAGAAGCCCCTACTGCTCAATGCGTTGAAACCGATCTCGAGTAACAAGCAGGTCAGAGATTCTCAATGGTACTGTACGTGTTTATCGTAACTTCCGATAAGATATATTATAATAATAATACATTACAGGAGTTTAGGTCACAACCTTTGTGTCGTTCTTTAAAGAAGTTAATCAGTGTACAGTAGTTCTTCCATCTCTCATAAAAATATGATTTTTGTTTCATATATCAGTAAAATAATTATAATTATAAACAACAAAATTCCTTATAAGTAGGTTAAAAATAACAAGTAAGTGAGGTTAACGATGGCTTGTCTACCTGAAGGTGCCCTGCATGTTGCTCTGACCCTCTGAGCCTGGAGTACCGAGTCTGTCCTCGGAGATTCCATTTTCAGTTTCATATCGGTAGTTGAAGTTTCCATCTGCAGTAGCCTGGCGCTCGTCCACTAAGATCTTAGCCTCATCTTCGTCAGGGCGAGGAGCGGCGGCGGCTAGGGCTACCAGACAGGCGAGGAGTATCTGCGTCCCCAGGAAAGACAACGTGTTGGAGGTCACCTAACATCTTGTCCAGTATAATATACTGCCTCAACAGGTCCTCATTAACAGCTACGTTTATTATTAAACTCTTGTCAAAGTACTGAGGTCTTAAGTGTTACGAATTAAGACCTTTTAGTAATTATTACTCGAGCTTATAAATATTAATAATAACTGTCTAATGATTGTTAGGTAATAAGAAAAGGGCAATAGGCCAAGCAGAGACGTAACAACAATACCCCAAGAGAGGTGTTGTGTTGAGTGAGGATCTTGGCCAGTACTTACCAGCTTCATGTTGTTGTCGCTGTGAGGATCAGCTGAGGATATTGGTCACATGTTTGAGACGATCTATATATACCCACACCAAGGCGGGGATAGAATGGTGACGAGGCGTGGTGAAGGGAACCTGTATGTGTGTGTTTGTTTTTGTGGAGGGGAAGGCAGGTGAAGGGTGGGGCGGGAAGGAAGCTGGTCAACTGTAAATCCGATTACAGATTAGAAATTTGGAGAGATGTTCTTATAGATTCAAATCATATAAGACCCAATTCCTAATAGGCCTTATACCTTCCACTACCAAAATCTTAATAGTCCCCAGTCATACTCGGCCCCAGTCATACTCGGCCCCAGTCATACTCGGCCCCAGTCATACTAGGCCCCAGTCATACTAGGCCCCGGTCATACTCGGCCCCAGTCATACTAGGCCCCAGTCATAGGGCCCCGGTCATACTCGGCCCCAGTCATACAGTCAGGGGCCCCAGTCATACTCGGCTCCCCAGTCACAGGCCCCAGTCAACTAGGCCCCGGTCATACTCGGCCCCAGTCATAGGCTCCCAGTCATACCAGGCCCCAGTCAATGTCATACCAGGGCCCAGTCATAAGGCCCCAGTCACTAGGCCCCAGTCATACTAGTCATACTAGGCCCCAGTCATAGGCCAGGCCCCAGTCATACTAGGCCCCAGTCATACCAGGCCCCTGTCATACTAGGCCCAGTCATACTAGGGCCCCAGTCAAGGGGCCCCAGTCAAGCCAGGGCCCCAGTCATACTAGGCCCCAGTCATACTAGGCCCCCCTAGGTCATACTGGCCCCAGCTCCTCAGGTAGTCATATACTAGCCCCTAGGTCATACTTTAGGCCCCAGTCATACTAGGCCAGTCATACTAGCCCCAGTCATACTAGGCCCCAGTCATACTCAGCCCCAGTCATAGTCTGGCCCCAGTCATCTATAGTCTAGGCCCAGTCATACTATCAGTCACTAGGCCCCAGTCATACTAGGCCCCAGCAGCAGTACTCGGCCCCAGTCATACTCGGCTCCCAGTCATGCTCGGCTCCAGTCATACCAGTCTCGGCTCCAGTCATACTCGGCCCCAGTCATACTCGGCCCCAGTCATACTCGGCCCCAGTCATACTCGGCCCCAATCGTAACAGTCCCCAGGCTAAGCAGTCCCCGGCCATAACTAGTTCCAGATAGTCCTAATTGGTCTCAGTTTTTATTGGCGCCAACCAAGTATAACCTTAGTAAAGGGATTTATTAAGACTAAAAGGTCTATTAAGACTTGGTTTGGGTAGCGGTCATCCCATTTGAGTGCTGCACTAACTACACACACACACACTCTCTCTCTCTCTCTCTCTCTCTCTCTCTCTCTCTCACACACACACACACACGATGTCATTCACTGTGTACAACCACTTATCCCATTGAATAAGATAGCTTAAGCCTTTAAACCTAACTTATTTTTTCCTAACCTAACCTAATAAAGCCTAATACAAGTTAAGCTAAACTAACCTAACTTAATCCAACTTAGCTTAAACTAATATAAGTAATTACTCCTAACCTAACCCCGTCAAATGTAACCTAAAAAAAGAATTAATTAACTTACCCTTATTTAACCTAATTTACTCTCGTCTAACCTATCATAACCTTATTAAACCTAACTTAACGCATCGCAACTTAGCTCTTACCAACCCTAACTTAATCAAGCCTAACTAATTCCGAACTAAGCCAAAGTGTGTCTCACATACCTCAAACACAATGTTTTGTTATTTATCACACTTGTACGGGGATTACCCCACCCGGGCACAGGTCACTGACCCACATCAGGGCCTGGGGGTTATAATAATAATAGTAATAATAATAATAATAATAATAATAATAATAATAATAATAATAATAATAATAATAATAATAATAATAATAATAATAATAGTAATAATAATAATAATAATAATAATAATAATAATAATAATAATAATAATAATAATAATAATAATAATAATAATAATAATAATAATAATAATAATAATAATAATAATAAAAATAATAATAATAATAATAATAATAATAATACCAACAAATAAATACCACTAAATAAAAATTATAATAAATAATAAAATAAATAATAATAATAATATAAATTAAAAATAAACCAAGAATGATAAACAATATATGTATGTTGTGTTGTCAATAGTAAGAGAAACAATTGAGACCCTGCAATTGTGTGTAAATGAGGCAGAAAGTCAGATCAGCAACCTGGGACTTGGTCACAATTTTCGTGATGCCATATGGCAGCAGGGTCTACCATTAGACAACACATTATGCTTCCAATAATCCTCCCAGGCGGTAGTACCTCCCTGTTTGGTAGCTGCCTACTACCTACTACCTAACATGCCTCAACCTTACCTGCTGTAATCTAACTTTACCTAACCTAACCTAACCAAACCTATCCCACCCTAACCTATCCTAACCTAGCCTCAAACATGATTATAAACTAACTTATCTTAACCTAACCTAACCTAACCTAACCTAACCTAACCTAACCGTCGGTATTGCACTTCACAACCTTCACTTCCCCCAATCTTGTATAGTGAAGTCGACCTACCCATTCGCAGCTGGGAGGACTGGGAGTGCCCCGGAATCGAACCAGCGACCCTTAGGCTAGGAGGTAGGGGGTTAAGGGTCGCTGGCTCCAAGTAACAGGTGAATCATCTATGTTGGGTTGATTTATCTGATATGATTTAAGACCCAACGTATATGTAAGTCTCAAAGTCTCAAAGTCTTTATTATAGGTTCTGGAGGAGCTATAGCTAAGTCTTAAGTCTTAGTCTTTATTATAGATTCTAAATGAGCTATAACTAAGTCTTAGTCTTTATTATAGGTTCTGGAGGAGCTATAGCTAAGTCTTAGTCTTTATTATAGGTTCTTGAGGAGCTATAACTAAGTCTTAGTCTTTATTATAGGTTCTGGAGGAGCTATAACTAAGTCTTAGTCTTTATTATAGGTTCTGGAGGAGCTATAACTAAGTCTTAGTCTTTATTATAGGTTCTGGAGGAGCTATAACTAAGTCTTAGTCTTTATTATAGGTTCTGGAGGAGCTATAACTAAGTCTTAGTCTTTATTATAGGTTCTGGAGGAGCTATAACTAAGTCTTAGTCTTTATTATAGGTTCTGGAGGAGCTATAACTAAGTCTTAGTCTTTATTATAGGTTCTGGAGGAGCTATAACTAAGTCTTAGTCTTTATTATAGGTTCTGGAGGAGCTATAACTAAGTCTTAGTCTTTATTATAGGTTCTGGAGGAGCTATAACTAAGTCTTAGTCTTTATTATAGGGAGGAGCTATAACTAAGTCTTAGTCTTCTTTATTATAGGTTCTGGAGGAGCTATAACTAAGTCTTAGTCTTTATTATAGGTTCTGGAGGAGCTATAACTAAGTCTTAGTCGTTATTATAGGTTCTGGAGGAGCTATAACTAAGTCTTAGTCTTTATTATAGGTTCTTGAGGAGCTATAGCTAAGTCTTAAGTCTTAGTCTTAATTATAGGTTCTGGAGGAATTATAACTAAGACTTAAATTCTATTTCGACGTTCGTAAGTCTTATTGCAGATTGTGAAAGTATTATATCTATAGTACTAATAGATTCTATAACCCGGTCGTAAGCAACGGGCGTCCAAAAATTATCTCATCCATTTTTATACCTACAGGTTGACAACCCTTTATCAGAAATTCTGAAAACCGAAAGTTTTTTGGGAGGGCATTTTTTTTTTTTTTTTTGTAACAGGGATTAGCCCACCCGGGCATAGCTCAGTAGCTCACTGACCCAAATCAGGGCCTGGGGGGCGAAAATGTAATAGTAATAATAATTATAATAATAATAATAATAATAATAATAATCGGTCAATATTGAGAAACGGTGCATGTATTTTGTGTTGTCAAAGTAAGAGAAACAATTGAGACCCTGCAATTGTGTGTAAATAAGGCAGAAAGTCAGATGAGCAACCTGGGATTTGGCCACAATTTTCGTGATGCCATATGGCGGTAGTACGTCCCTGTTTACCTACTACCTATTTTTTTTTATTATTAAACTTCCATATGTATACCATTAGTTAACTGAAGCTGTTTAATGTTTTGAAATGGACCCGAAAATTTATAGACAACCAGTAGTTAATAGACTCTTAACAGTAAGCCTTATGATCAGGTTATAAGTCTTGTAGAATATATTAATACTATAGTTATAACACAGGGCGTCCCCATTGAGATAAAACATCTTTGAAGCCTTATAAATTTTGATTGAATAATGCAAAAAGTGGAATAGTTACGCAGCTGATAAACACTAAGTATGCTTGAGGTTCATTAGGGTAGGCATTCAACATGTGCACCATTCGTAGCACAGACTGAGTCACAGAGATACTCAATCTCCCTCCCTTGCCCCGTGTTGTAGAGGGTCTGTTATTCCGACTTTACTTCACATTAATGATACACAAGGTGAGATGAAGGTCTCAACAGCACGAGACTCATCAGGTGCCATAGAGGATAATTATCATATGAATATACTTAACACTATTTATTTCCTATAAGCAATAACAATATCACTGGGACAGGTTGACTCCATAACAAAGTGTACAGTACATGACTAGGCTCACTAGGTCTATGTTATAATTATTTAGGGGACGACACCTCCGCGACAGCCACCGAGTGAAGATCATTACACCTTTATTTTAGACCTCAACTTGTGGTCGTGCTTTAGGTTCTGTGTAAACAAATATGTCCAGACATTTGACAAATTGATCCATAATGATTGTCGCGAGTTAATCATGTACAGGGAGGTCAAGGTGGAGGTCTCATTTTGTGTTATTTCTCGAAGGTAATGCCCTGGGCGCGCTGCTCCTCGGCGACGCGGATCTGCTCGATGGCGTGGGCGGGGAGGGGGTGAGGGGTGGGCAGCAGAGGAGAGTCGGCCTTGAAGCCAAACTCGTCGGCGATGTAGGTGACGATAACAAAGACGCCCTCAGGAGACGTGTAGCTGAGAGAAGATGAAACGTTTCAAAATCAATAACTAAACAACAGATTCTGAATAATATCTTTCACCTTGTACTGGT